TTTCCCTTCACCTCCTAGGTCTACGGGCACATCCTTGCTGCGTTATACCACTCAGTATGGATATGAGCAGCTTGCTCTAGCTCCTGCTAAACTGAAGTCACTCATCTCCTAAATAGCAGCAATTGCTAAGTACCATACTTTTCAAACAAGAAGAAAAGCTGAGCACTTCTTTCCTTTCCATTTTTGGAACTGTACTGTAATCTGTGCAGCTACAGAGCTGCAGCTGACACCACAGCACCCTTTGCAATGATCAGAGTAAGCAGCAAAAATATCCACTGAATTTTTGGAGTATCAGTCCCAACATTCCCCTCTCCCCTATGCCCACAGCATCTGTAATCTTGTTTCCAAATCCTGAAACACAATAGAAACCTCCCCTGGCTTAAAATCTTCTTTACTTAAGCACCTAAACTTTTAATTGCTCTTTCCTGATATGGTTTAAAGATGTATGGAAATTCTGCCAGATGTCCATGGCTAGTGGATCAGCTGAGGAACAATTCAATCTCAGGAATTTGAGCGTGGCTAATTACCCTCCTCCCCTGTGCACACCTACTGATACACTTACATATTTAACTACACCAGATGACTTTATATGCTGCCTAACAGAACAGCATGAAGCTCTGAAATAAGATTTCATATTTCTCTTGCTTTGTGCAGCCTTACTTCAGTAGGAATGAGATTGAAGATGTGCTGAGGCAGATTTCTTTTCTAAAGCACATGCCTTTTTTCTACTGTCCAGTGAGCAGAAAATGGAATAAATTACATATACATAATAGCAAGACATATGAGGAACTAGGTGGGATATTTATTGTTTCTTGAAGTTATTATCCTGGGCACCTTTAGATGCATATGCAATCAGAATAGAAATCTTTACTAGGAGAATAAAATTAGGATACATTGTGCTACAAGCAGAGCGGTCAAGTTTTAGCTTATTTTCAATCCGGTTATTAACATCTGAATAAGTGCTTTCAGAAGCATTAAACAGAATGCTGCTTTCTTCAGTGTAACTTTTGGTTGAAAACACAATTTTTTAAAAGAAACTGCTGAATTTCCTATAGACCAGTCTTTTTAATTCATACTGAAAAGCTTCAGCCAATACTCACATCCAAATATGTCAGGAGTAAAGTAATTTTCAGACAATTTAAAGTAAGTACCTAAAGCACTCATATACCTTATACATTATTTACATATCCCCTAAAAACCAAATAATTCATAAACACTAACAAAAATTTGGTAGAAGGCATCCTGAAATCATCTGCTGTTTCCTATGTGTATAAGATAGTAGTAACTGACAGTTAATGACAACATAATAATCTAAGTGTGTTGACAATTATTGAACTGAATACACTTCAGAGAAATGTAAATGCCAGAGGAGAGCAGCTACAGCTCCATGACTAACATATGCTCTGGATTCTGACCATCAGCTTCGCTATTTCAGTTTTGTGACCTAAATCTCCCTCCTTTACCAGAAAGAAACAGAAAACCCAAACAAGAAATGTCTTACTTGTTCTGCCTTCTCCGGTGGTTTTCTATCCGCCTGCAAAAACTGGCAGTTTTCTTTCGCCAGCTTCTGGACCAGCTCAATCCTTCCGATGTCATCTCTTCCCTGAAGCTTGCACAAAACCCCTGCCTTAAGGGTGGGAGAAAGAGCAAACAGATACTTAAATCCACAATTCCAGGACATGACACCGCCACAAATTTCAATCTTAAAAGAAATGCATCAGTTTTCTCATATTTGCGGTACTTCAGTGCCACTTGCTGAACACAAACAAGTTGCTGCTTCCTGGGAAACAACTGGAGAGGAGCTGAGGCACATCTGAATCTCCAAATGTATCTACTTTGGAGGAACGAAGTCAGAGCTAACTAAATCAACTGCTCCTCTGAGTGTGACTATCAGATTCGCTGTGTTTTATTTGTTCCTGTCAGCCTGTTTCCTGTTACATACGAGAACAAGAGCAAGAGGTTAAAAACTCATGGGAAAGTTAGCCAGGAACAGCCCTGGAAAAAGAATGAAGCGCAACACAAGGCAGTCCTAAAAATAACAGGCTACAACTCCCTCTGCTCCCGGTCCAACCATTTTTCACATATGCAAGCCTCAAGAGTTAAAAGACAGTTGCGCCACATTTATTTATTCCATAAATAAAATCAGGAGACTCTGATTTGTTGTTTAGGGAAGAAAATGAGATTTGCTTTAAAAACTATGTTAGAACTATTTTTTTGGCTAATATTCTGCCAGCTATTCAAGCTATGCCGATAGTGTTTCATCAAAACATTCAGCACTGGTTGTTTTCTAAAAATGCCATATATATATAAAGACAGATTCATGCTTGCACACATGCATACCAGACCCATCACAAAGTTAGCTGATGAGGGCTAAATGGCTCCCTGCAAAGTCAGTGGCTAATGTCACTGTCCATGATTTGGTCATGGATGTAGCCTCTGCATAACTGAGACCTGGCTCGATGATACTGCACAGCTTTTATTAGCCCAGATGTTTCCTGATGGGAACAGCATGTGCCTTGGGAGGGCCAGGCATGTGGCATGGCTATGATATTGCTAAATAAACATTTTTCCCCCACCTTCTCTACCCTTCCCTTTCTACTATTCATCCTGAATTTAACTGAATCAGTATCTACTCCAAAATTCACAAAAACATCTTGTGAGTCAGGACCAAAAGCCAGGGATGTCCTGACTGCTAACTCGTAGTGCCATGCAGGCTCCAATCCTTTGGCCTTGAGAAAGTCCTGCCCGTGACAGCTGAGGGTGTGAGAGTGCCCACTCAAACCATCCTACAGTCCACTGGTTTCTCCAAGGAAGAGGGAAATGTGGGTTAAGGTTTCTTCAGCTGAAGAGGAAAACAAATCCACTTTCTGAGTAAGTGCTTTAACACTGATGGAAAAAAATAGGTTCCACAACCAAGTCCAAAGAGTCACCCTCACTGAATTTTTGAAAGGAATTTTTACGTGCCTACATTCCTCCAGTCTGGATGAAGGCATCTCCTCACAAGCTTGCATCAGGTACTTGTGGTGTGGAGAAGGAAAGCATTTCAGACACAGCCTGTACTTTGCATGTCCTATGCTTAGTCCCCAGCCTCCTGAGGAACCCAGCTTTCCCACATAAGGAACTTACACACGTGGTTTGAAGGTCAGAAATCCACTGAGAAAATAAAGAATCGCAGTGCCTAACATGAAGGTTGTTACATTTTCTATGAGATTAGCTCCTTATTTTCTAAATCAAGGATGTGGATTTATAAACCAGTTCTGTCACACCGTTATCACCTGTAGATCAGGAGTGAGACTGATCTTATCAAGTGTGGAAGAATATACTGAACTAGTTGTCCAGACTCATTTAATCAATAGAGAAAAAGCCGTACTTAAGAAAATTTTTTTACTCTACGGTAGACATTTAAAAATGGTCAGATGAATTGCTTCCTAAAATTTTCCTTTTTCTCCAGTAATTTACAGAGGGAACCTAGGCAATCATCACAGACTTGGCTGAGGTCTGATGTCCGCACCTCACAACACTTCGATGGCTTGGGGACATCAAATAGAGCCAAACCTGCTTATTTCATGGCTTTGGGATGCTTCTAGCAGAGAGTATAACATCTGTGCGCTGTAATCTCTGCAGGCTTGTAGGCTAAGGACAACTCAAAGCGTTATGGTCTATCAGGGCTTTGAGAACATAAAGATTTACTGTCTCTCTGGATGTAGGATCTTAGTACAGGGGAGGCATGTTTCACACCTTCATGTTGCGCCCAGACAAGTCAGACCACGACCTACATGTCCCTGTATTTCAAATGCCAGATGGACATAGACAGAAATGCAGTGTTCACTCTGCTGAACAAACACTTACTGATCTTCAGTGTATGAAGGAAAGCCTATTAAGATGAGGAAGGGGGACTTCAGTTTTGGGGTAACAGTTGGCTTCATGATGTTCAAGTGGAAGAAACATCCCAGAGAATTGTCTTTTTGAACACATGGGCCTTGGTCTCTTTCAGCTCTTGCCCTCTTGCCTGTGTTCAGACAGAGCATATTATTGCTTTCTGCAGAGATGAGCACCCCAGGGAAGAAGTAACTCTAGATATAAGCCCATTAGTCCTGCCATGAATATGGTCTGTATTCAAATTGGCGATTTCATTAAAGAATCATATTGTCCTGTTTCAAATAATGACCAAGAAGAAATCTTATGTTAGAAGATGTCCCCTACTCCCCCAACTATTCTTTGATTTAAAGAATTGCAGAGAGCATGAAAAATATATTTATTTTATTGGGTTTCCATAGGATAAAAGGTCAACTAAAAAATTTCTGGGAAGGCTAAAGTATTATCAAGTTAATTGTACATGCTTGGCTCTGGGAGTGAAGAATGCACTTGAGATACAAAAGGCTAAACATGTTTTTTCATAATTAAGAAGAAAAATATAAATCCTTCACTTTTAATTCTGATTTCCTCAATTATGCTGACTTTCCACTATAAATCTTTCCGTTAAATACTTATAAGAACAGGTCATCTAATTAATTAATTGCTGACAGCTTCTAAAATCTGGTTAGGAAGATGTTGACAGTCTCTTATTCCTGGTCATTTTCACTTGTCAATATAAATTTCATTTTCAAGCAATAACTTTGAAGCTGTTGTTAGACAAAAGAGTAAAGGCAAGCCGCCCTACTTGCAAAGTGCAAATTCGATTTGTATTTTGTGTGGGCACACACACCCCAAAATCCCACACTGCCCAGCTATTGGTGCTCAGTCTTCCGGTTCATGTACACCAACAAAGATACACGTACTAACTTATGTGAAGGTAAAAATCACTAAGTTGCATATTTTAACTGGCTTTAATTTAATGAATGATAAAAGAACGTGGGAGCTTTATAGTAAGGCTTTACTACCATTCACGGCATAAAATTACTATAATTAAAGGTGTTTATGCAATATTTGAAGTGAAATAAAAACGTTTAATGGGAAGGAAAGTAAATTAGTCACTACTGAAGTTGGAAAAGCAAAGATGCTGACAACAGACTTTCTGTTTCAGCACAACCATTGGAAAATATTCCCTCTGTGAAGGCCATAAATGAATATGCTAGCAGTGACAAGAAGGTGAATTAAGACAGCCCTAGGCAGACAGGATGGGATTTTTTTATTTACATTGTTTACAACATGCTCGCTTTTAAAAATCCCTGTACTGAATTTTTTCCACACTTCTACAAGTTTCGTCAACTAACTCCAATGTAAGTCAAGCGTACGTCCTGCAGAGCAGTGTTTAGAGCAGGCACCGTGCCCTTCAACTCTGCTAACAGAAGAGGTTTGTGGTGGTTTGTTTTTTTTCCGCTGTGCCTCTGTCTCCTCCTCTGTCCAGTGAAAACAACATAATTATTACAGGCTTCACCTTTGATCAACCTGAAAACTTAAAACTATACACCACTGCCTTGAAAGATCATTTGCTTTGCTGTGCATGCACAGTCTCACTAAAGCAAAAAAATAAAACATTATTCACACCCCTAAACCAAACTGTATTCAGTGTTTGCAGGATGGCGTTTTTATGGCATCGACAAACAAATTGAAGCAACAGCTGCTTTGGTAACACTCCTACTCCCCTCCCAGTCGGGCACTTGAACACTTTTGTTAACTGCTCACTTAATAATTGTTCAATTTTAAATGTGTTCCAAATTCTTTCGAATTTTAGAAGCTGGTTTCCAGCCAAATAAAAGCTGAGCAAATCAATAGCCCAATGATAAATTCTTACGGGTTTTTATAATCTGCCCATGTAATCTTATTAGCCAGCTATTTAGGAGCTTTGAGCACACATGTCGTAGTCTTTCTTTTTACATCTCTGACATAAATGTGAACACACATTTTCAAAAAATAATAACTACAACAATGAAGTAGAACTGAGCATAAATGAAATCCGAAAAAGAAAAGAGAAAGACAGATTTTTTTGTGCAGTGAGGTCAGTATTTCCCCCTGGGTCTTTTCTATAGCTCTGTAATGCACACCTGAGCTCTAGAAGACTGATCCTCAACCCCACACTGACATGAATTAGGAATCAAAATCCGGTAACAAAATTTTCACACATTAGGGATCCTAGTACGCTTTTTTTTTTTTCCCAATAGATTTGAAACTATGTGCAATTAAGGAAAGAGCAGGCCATTTCCAAACACCTTGCTTGAGCATGACTCCGAAGAGTATGCTAGAAAAGCCCAGATACACACCGATGCAGTAAGCATATCCGCATGGTCCCCAACTCTTCTGCCTGCACTCTCCAGGTGTCTGCCATGGCCCAGGTCTGTGACGGGAGCTGCCTACAGCCTCTCCTGGGCTCACTGTGGTAGAGACAGCCCCTGCCTTTAGAAAGATATAGGTACTGCTAACTTGGCTATATGGTTTGTACCCCTTCAGCTTGGCTTGCTCACAGACAAATCCTGTCTTTCTCGCACACAGCTTTTTAGCGGGCAAGGTGTTAGGAGATAAATCAGAGACAGGAACTGCAAGATGCTACGTAAGAAGGAGAAAAGGTGGCAACTGGTGGGGAACATAAGATTTGCAAGAGGAATAGAAGGGAAAAAAAAACCACAGTCAAGACTGGGAGAAATCAATTTTAAATTAAAAGCAATAATCAGTGCCAATACAACGAGCAATATAGTTATACTTGCACAGTTTGAATGCATGAACCAAATAACTGAATGACCTGGAGATTAATCAAAAAAGATTCACAGAATTAAGAAGGGTAAGCAGTTCCACAATAAAATACTCTAAAAGGCAGTTAAGTTTCTTCTGAGCAATATCTAGAGGTATGCTTTGGTTTTAAATGAGGACAGTTAGGGAAGGAAAGAAAAAGATTGTTGCTTACACTCGAGTGACTAATAAGTATCCTCATTGCATTGCATGTCTACTTACAGTGATTAAAATTCCATCAAAATGTCACATGCCCTTGCTTCCTAAAACACATCTCATTTTATTTTCACATCTGGTATATGCTGTGTGTATTATCTAAAAAGAGCAGAGAGATAGCTGAAGAATGCTGTCCGATTGCAACATCATGGGATTAATTCCCAGAGTAATCATTAATCTTATTCTAAATAGTCACATAAGACAAGATCCAGCAGACTTTCTCCTTCCTACGGGCTCCCTGCACAGAACATCAAGGAAAATCCATTTCCCAGAGCTATTGAAAGCAGACCCTTCAACCTGTAGATCTGAAAAAGCTCCCAAGACACTATTAATCTTACACATTTACCTGAGCATCAGAGGTATCCTTGAGCTCTTCTAGTCCTCTTATTTCTTGACTGCTGTTTTCTTCATTTTGATGAATTGCTAAAATAAGAAAGAGGGAATGTATTGGAAGCAGGAAGGTTTAAAACATGAGAAGCAGCAAAGCAGCATGTCCCAGTTTAGATCAAATAGCATGACCATTCAAGAAACCTCGTTCCAAGTTTAGCTTTCTAATTAACCCCTTGAGTGGTTTTGGACAAATCCTAAATAAGGTATACCTTATTGGGTTTGGACAGATCCTAAATAAGGTATACCTTATTTTTCCAGGCAGTAAAATGCAGTACTAAATAGTTATATTCCTGCTACTGTTAGTCCTGATAAAACAGTGACATTTAAGGAAACTCCACTCTTCTATACTTTATAACAAGATCTGGTGACTCATAAAGAACAAAAAAAATCACACCTCCCTTTACTTTCATTATATTGCAGAAGGTCAATTCAGACAAAACAAAATAAGCAGATTTATCCCTCATCTCACACTTGGAAAATTCTTTGTAAGCAAAGTGATCTCAGTCTTACCAAATACCACCACTAGTTATGAAAGTCATCTCCAGAAATAAATGGTAGCAGAAAATATTCCATTGAAGATTATTTGCTGCTGGCACAATAAGAGAAATCAGTAACTTAGCTCAATTAACACTGCTTAACACCAGCAAGTTTTGCAAGACTTTAAAAGAAAAAGTTTTGGATCAAACCTGTAATCTCCAGAAGGGTCGAAACCAGTTATCAGTTTACCTAGCTAAAGAAACAAGGACCACTTTTGAAGGGACACATCAGACTTCTGTATTGCAAACAGCTACATCTCTAGGTATTTTTACTGTCTATTGCCCAAGATATCCCTCCAGTCAACACACCCATCTGCTATATTTTGGTAGGACATTAAGCCTTCAGACATTCTGAAATGCGACACATGGCAGGTTAGGAGGGTCAGACCCAATGAAGCACATGCGAAGTGACTTTACCTTACACCGTACTCATTTACTTACGAGCACCATACTCAAATATCACCTGTCTTGTGTACACATCGAATGATTTGCCAGCATAGCCATAGCAATTGTGACAATAAAAGCATCCTTGAAGTGGTAGAGTTGGTAAATCCATTTCCTGACCACCACAAGGCTCATGGCTTTGATGGATGGGATGGAGGGTTCAGCTTGTGTGCTTCCTCCTGTCCACCTTCTCTCTCCTTCTACCCCCGAGTACCTGAGCTGGTCGTCAGGCTGCATCTGAACAGCCACAGCCCACAGCACAGTGTTTTCAGACAAGGATCACCAGTTCTCTTTTGCCTTAAAACAGTGTTTGTGAGCTGAGGCACCTCAGGATTTGATTGATGAATGAATTGGCTGTTGTGGGAGCAGGAGAGGGGCTGGCAGGTACTACCTTCGCCAGCCACCCTCACCCAAGCTCTCCCCAGCCCTCAGCCTGAACCTCTAGGTGTACAACTAGGTTACCACTGCCGAGCTAATACACGTAACATGAGCCACGAGGTCTAGCTTGGTGTGTCTGTGTGGGTGCTCCGGGCCTGCTGCAGACAAAGAGCAGCCTAACGTTTAGGCATCATCCAGCAACTTAAAAGAAAAGTAACTCCAGGCTGTTCTTGACCTCTAAAATACAGCATATGGATTTATTTTATTTTTACTGCAGGATTTCTGCTGATATTGCTGTGCCACATAGGGTATAATTCTTTCTTCCCAGACAGCTATGCTATCAAAAGAAAAAAAAAAAGTAATAAAAATGTAATTATAAAAGGGGAAAAAAAGTAATTTTGTCAATACAGTTTATTCAATTCAGGGATCTTTTTAAATCCATTATCTAAAGAAAACAGAGGTCTGGTATAAATCTTCACTACTGGGTTTGCTGGCATCACTTTATCAGTCAACCTCCGAAATTCAAGGTGAATGCTGAAAACACAGGGTCAAGCTATAGCTACAACAGAAAGCATGTATAATGGGCGTTACATCCCAGCAGTATTTAAAGCTAGGCAAAATCAAAATGTGCTTGGGACATTGTGGCCTATCTCTGCCCCAGGCTGGAACAATAACAACCCAACAAAGCAGTAACCAGTGATTGCCTCAACAGCCCTGTGCGGCCTCTGTTTTCCCAGCGCAAGTCAGGGTTTCCCAAGGCAACCGACTCCATTCAACCAGGCCGGGGGCTTCTCTGCAGTCCCTTCCCTTGTAACCCACCTCCCAGCCTTCCTCCCCAAGACCTGCCTCATCTTCTTGCACACTGCCACATGTGCGTGACCTCGTTCTACCCACTGCCGCTGCGGCAGACACAAAGCATTTGGGACATCCATTTGCCAAATGCTAGTCAGAACAACCGGCATGAGAAGGGAACGTTGCAATGCCAGAAGGCATTAATGAATGCTAAAAAGTGGTTGTTTGAGCAATTGCAAATAGCTTAAGTCTGTAGCTGCATTAGCAGAAACACATTTCCCCAACTCTCCTTTCAATTTTCTGATTTCTCCTAAAATCAATTTGCTGTAGCCACTGATGGGCAAAATATCCCCACAGACACCAGCTATTAATCACAGCATTTAAAGGAGTGGCACCTTGCTAGTTACAAGACCGTGGGTCCAGGTTTAAGTGATTTACATTGATCCAGCCAGCTTTTCCAACAAGCCTGAGCAGATGGGCGCTTTGCAAACAGCTGTGCCAGGGGAAAAGGTTAGTGGCTGTCAACCGGCTTCTTGTCACCAGCCTCTGTTAGAAGTGTCCCCTTCCCTGCCCAGTGCCAGGGCAAGCACCTCAGAGCATCTTCATCCAAAGCAAACAGGCGGATCTTTGAGGAGCAGCACGCTGTTGCTAACCTGGCTGGGCTGGCAGATTAGCAAGGGGACGGTACCTGGCCGGGGAGCTAGTGACAAGCACTAAACACCCAGGGCTGAGGGTAGTAATATTTTTTACCTGGCAGAAAGGGAAAG